GAAAATACATATTTATCAGTAAACACATGGTGAAATTAAAAGTATTTTCATGACTACTCACCTAGACCAGATAAAACATTGACAATAAGCCAAAAGAAGAAATATACTAGATAAGCTATGAACAAAGTTGTAGCCATATTTATAGAGATCACCAAACACATAAATTAATTGATATACTATGCCCGATTCACATTTTAATTAAACCCCACATTGACTTAAAGTGTGCATATAAAGTAGCAAATTTTTATTTAAAATTATAATAAATAGGTAAAACAAAAAATATAATAACCTAATGTTAAAGAACCTACCCCAAAAGAAACACAGTAACACAATATTGCAAAACAAGAATAAAAGAAACACCCATAAAATTCTATAAGCAACATTGATGTACCATTAAAAAAAATTTCGTTCTAAATAACCGCAATGTTCAACAGTGACTAGGCACCCATATGGAGCAGAAATTTTGAATCACTGGAATGTTGTGTATGGAGATAAAATTTTATTGAAAATGCACTGAAATTATTAATACAAAGCTCTAATGAAAAAATTTTAATTGAATAAGCATTTAAAAGATACTAAAGATAAAGTTTTATTATGTTATTAATATATTAATGCTATTACTACATAAAATAAAAAGGTTGTAATCCAGCCCTTAGAGGCAAAAAAGGCCTTTTTTTAATTCTCAAAGGGCATGATTTACTTTTCTAAATGAAGAAAAAAATACGAATTTTGTTGACCACAATGAGCATCAATGATACGTAAAATGAATATTTGAGTATAAGTCATATGTAGATACAGGCTGAGGAAAGTGGATGAAAATCTTAATGATTCCTTTATACCTTCACTAAATTTAAACTTACAAGTGGACATTTTAATAAATATAGGGTGCCTATTATTTATCTAATTTACTTCTCCCGTAACATATAAATTCACACATATTGTTTTGAATGTTTAAATCTATATTACAGACAAATTTGAAACAAAACAATTCAGAAAGTGAAAACATATAGGGACAGAGACATCAGCAAGACGGAATAACAGAAAATCCCTCACTTGTATATCTGCCTTCAGCATCTAAAATTTGGCAGACATCCATTGGCAAAAGGGCATTATGACACATTTGGGAGTCCGGGAGAGTGCTGTGAATTCCTGTTAAACCCCAAAACCAGGAAAGGTCGATCTGAGAAAGCAGGCCCTCACCTAGATGACAAACTTGAGAACCCCTGTTCTTGGCTACAGACCAGGAATTGGCACACGAAATGTGGTCTGAGAATTCTGAAGCTACTCTCTGTCTCCAACTCCTCCCAGCCACAGTATGGGAGTGGTCCTGCCCATCCAGAGACCTGAGGTAAGATGACCACTCATGGCCATAAAGGCAGGCCTACAGACTTTGGTCCTTACTGCGGTCTCTGAAGCGGTTCTGTGACTCAATATCAGCCCTCTTAGCCACAGTCCTTGGCTAGCCTTGCCCACCAAGGGACACACACAGTGACCTGAGGATACCCTCCCACATACTCAGTGGGAGTCACACTCAGGGATCCATATACCTGATATCAGACTCACCCTATGAAGACCTAACTGCAAGTACCTGCCCTACAGATCAAAGTCATGAAGGCAACCTAGCCTGCACACAAATAAGACAGGATTCACAACCACCCAAGCCCCTGGTAACAAGCTCACCAAAGCTAGATCCTACTATAGACCTGCAGCAGCCTTGTAACCAAGCTCCAACTCGTCTCCACTGCAAACACAGAAGGGGTCCCATCAGCTTGGGGAACCAACAAGAAAAGATCTTTACTTGCTGAAACCAGTTTATAAAAATTGCAGATACCAAGGCAAGGGCATATTCTGCCTACTTTCAATGCTTCTATTTTACCATAATACTGAAAGTTCTAGGCACAACAATTTGGCAGGAAGATAAAACAACAAGCAAATTGAAAAGAAGTAAAATAGTCACCATAGATCTAGACGTAATCTTATACATAGAGAAACATGAATGTTACACCAATAAAATGTTTAAATAAATGACCTCAGTAAATTAGCAGAATAAGAAATTAACCTAGAAACATGAGTTCTGCTTCCATACCTTAACAACAATCTGATAAAAAAAGAAAGAAAACAATCTTATCTACAATATCTTCAAAATAATAAATGTCTTAGGCACAAAACCAAAAAGATGAAAGATCTTTTTGCTGAAAAAAAAATGATATTGATGAAAAAGACACAAAGAATCATACAAACATACCATGTTTATGTATTGAAAGAATTAATATTATTAAAGTATCATATTATCCAAACCAACCTATAGACTTAATGTGATTTCTATAAAAATTCCAATGGCATTTTTCACAATAATAAAAACGAAAACAATTCAAAATTTATATGAACCTAGAAGAGACTTTGAGTAGTCAAAGTAATGTTGAGGAAGAAAAACAAAGCTGGGGACAGCATGCTTTCAGATGTTAAACTATTTTTCAAGAATATGGTTACAAAAACAGGATGCTAAGTGCATTAAAAACAGACACAAGAACTAATGGAATTGAAGAGAAAGCCTAGAAATAAACCCAAGCACATAAGGTCAACTAATCTTCGACAGGGCAAGAATACACAACACAGAAATTATGATCTTCTTAATATCTGATGCTAGAAAAACTGGATACCCACCAGTAAAAGAATGAAATTACACCATTTTTCTAACATCATACCTAAAAAGTAACTCAAAATAAAATAAATACAAATGAAATACATGAATCCTTAAAAATCATAAAAGAAAACATATGAAATATCTTCCTGATATTGGTTTTGGTAATCATTTTTTGGAATGTGACACAGAAAGTAGAGCAAGAAAAGCAAATATAAATAAGTTGGACTGCATCAAACCAAAAAACTTCTACAGAACAAAGAAAACAATAAGGATAGTTACAAGATAGAAGAAAACATTTGCAAACCATATATCTGATAAAAGCTTAATACCCATTATATATTAATATAAGAAATTCACACAAATTAAAGACAAAACCAATAATGATAATAATAATAACACAATTGAAAAATAGGGAAAACACTAAATAGATGTCTTTCCAAAAAATACACACGAATGGCCAACACTTATATAAAATGATGTTCAACATCACCAATCATCAGGCAAATGCAAATTAAAACATTGATTATTACCTCACACCTCTTAGGATAATTAATATCAAAAAGAAGAGATAACAAATGTTTACAATGGCATAAAGAAAAAGAAATACAGTACACTGCTGTTGAGTTGTAAATTGGTAGAGTCATTATGAAAATCAGTATGAAGCCTTTTTAAAAATGTTTTAAAAAATAGAACCACAAAATCTAGCAATCCTACATCTCTGTGTATAACCAAAGAAATAAAGCCATAATCTCAAACAAATATCTGCACCCCTACATAATTGCAGCATGATTCACAATTGCCAAGATATGAAAACACCCTAAATGTTTGTGGACGCTGAATGGATAAAGGAAATATGGTATATACACAATACCATATTGTTCACCCATAAAAAAATAAAATCCTGCCACTTACACAACATGATAAACCTGGAGGACATTATGCGAAGTGAAATAAACTAGGTATAGAAAGGCAGATACTTCATGTTCTCACTTATATGGGAACTCTAAAAAGGTTGAATCCACAGAAGCAGTGAGCACAACAAAGGCTGTTGCCAGAGGCTGGAGGTGGAAAAAAGGGGAAATGCTGTCCAAAGGGTACAGACTTTCAGTTACAAGATGAGCAAGTTTTGAGGATTCAATATATAGCTTCATGCCTATAGATAATATTATTTTGTTCTCTAAAATTTGCTAAGATAGTAGACCTTAAGTGTTCTCACTGCGAAAAAATAAGGCTATGTGAGGTGATAGATGTGTTCATCAGCTTGATTGTATTATTCATTTCACAATTTATACATATCAAATCATTACACTATATACAAATACATAGTTATAAAAATCAATATGTAATGTGCGTGTGTGTGTGTGTGTGTGTGTGTGTATTTAGAGAGAGAGAGAGAGAGAGAGAGAGAGAGAGAAAGAGAGAGAGAGAGAGGGAGGGAGAGGGGCTGTCTGGAAAGTATCCAACCTTTGTTAATATAACAAGAATGGTTATATGGCTCGACATTTTCCAAACAACTCTCTCTCTCTAACACACACAGACACACACACACTTGTATATACATGAATGATACAGTCAGGGTAAGCTTCATAGTAAACAGAAAGACTCATAAAATGAATTATTAAAAATATAAGGTCACAAGTGGGAGGTTAATGTATGCTTAGCAATGTTCTACGATCCCTAATGACATAGCATGTTTAAGAAATTTACGAAGTGAATAGGTACAATCAACTATATTACAGGTGAGGAATATGAAAATATATAATTTAAATTACTAACCTCAGTTCACACTAAAAAATTTTGGAGTAGAATAATGTTAGTTTTTTTATATTTAGAGAGAGTCATATTGTTCTGATGAAATTACTGAGTATAAATTTCTGCAAAATAAAAATAGAAACCTCCATATGATAGGAAATCATAAAGCAGAAAATGTACATTTGTCTATGTTTTTCCTGGGATTTCTGAAGCAAATATCAATAACACCACTACTGACACATTTCAGACATGATGCAAAAAGGGAACATCAAAATGGTTTAAAACAGAGTTCCTCAAAAACATGCTCAGATATTCTCGTGTGCCCAAAAGCAAAGGAAGAGCACTCAGATCATGCAGTCCCTTATAAGCCATGAACTTTGGCTCTGTCTGCAACACTGAAGAAAGATCACTGAGTAGAAATAGAGTCGTTAGAGAATTTTAGAACATGGGATGCCCCTACATGAGAGTAAGAGAAAGAAATCCAGGCTTCTCAGAAATCATTTCCACTGGAGCAGAGCTTCCCAAACCATATTTTAAGGTCTGGCTTCTTCTGAGACCTTCGGGACTCTCATCTGTGTCATCTCCTTCATTCATTCCCACCTACCTGGGTGTTTGCCTACTCTCTCAAGTCTGTTTACATTCCAGGGCTCTTGCCTTTGCTCCAGACAAATGATAAGGTCCGGCTTAGATGCAGCAAGACCTATTTTATTAAAAAAAAAGTAATATAACTCTTGCTAGGATTCTCCAATTACCAATCTAGTACTGTGCTCAGTAGAGAGGACAAAACATTATAGAAGTTTCTAGAAAATGAAACTCAAAATACTGTTTCTTGACAGAACCATTAGAATATTTAGGAGGCATTTTAAACTTACGGGTCCTTAGCTCCAATATCTAGTACTACTGAATCAAACATTGGTGGTAAAATTGGATTTTAAGGTTTGGGCAACAATGTTTAAGCCACCAAATTGAATTGTCACTAATCTAGAGTGAAGAATACAGATCAGTTCAAGAAAGGGGCAGTTTGATGTCAAGATGACATCCTGAAGATTTTCTTTTCTATACCAATGAACCCCCAAGATTTCCTTGAAAGCAGGGATTTAAAACTCATTCATGCAAAGCAGAAACTCCAAAAAACATTCCACAAAGAAAGAAAATGAAAACTTTAGGGTGTTATAGGAATCCTAAAGGGAAGTTATCCTCACCCAAGGAGACCAGGTTTCTGTAGTTCTCTAGCATCACATCCCTATACAAATTCCGTTGAGCAGGATCCAGGCACATCCACTCCTCCAGAGAGAATTCTATGGCCACATCCCTGAATGTCAACAGGTCCCGGAAAAAAATGCATATTTACCAACTCGCCATGTAGCTGCTATTCTTTTTTTTTTTTTTTTGAGACAGAGTCTCACTGTGTTGCCCCGGGTAGAGTGCCATGGCGTCAGCCTAGCTCACAGCAACCTCACACTCCTGGGCTCAAGCGATCCTTCTGCCTCAGCCTCCCGAGTAGCTGGGACTACAGGCATGCACCACCATGCCCGGCTAATTTTTTTTTCTATATATTTTTAGCTGTCCAATTAATTTCTTTCTATTTTTGGAAGAGACGGGGTCTCGCTCTTGCTCAGGCTGGTCTCGAACTCCTGAGCTCAAACAATCCGCCCACCTCGGCCTCCCAGAGTGCTAGGATTACAGGCGTGAGCCACCGTGCCTGGCCAAGGAGTATTCTTAATTTGACTAAATGTGAAATGGGAGAGTGAAGTGAACTGGCTCCGACATGCATGAGTGACTATAATTATCTAATATTATTAATCACCTAATATTAATAACAATACTCTCTAATGTATTCTCTAACTTGGAAGACAGAGGATGGCAAAAAGATCCACAAAACAAGTGTAGATACTGTACTTTTCTGTATAACGTATAAAATTAAGGGCATTGACACAGGCATATACATTTTTGAGTGGTCTATATATATCATACACAATAAGCTTTTTAAAATTTTTATTAATTTTTACAAGTTTTTGGACATATACTTGGTAAATAAAAATTGTATATATTTATAATACACAACATATTGTTTTCTATTGTTTTCAGCATATATTAAAATGATTACCATAATAAAACTATTAACATATCCACCATTTTATATAGTTACCTTTGTGTGAGAGTTGAGAACACGTGAGTCTACAGTTTTAGCAAAAGTCAAGTGCACAATACATTATTATAAGCTTTATATGTTTCTCATATGGAAAAGTCATTAGGAGTTACAAGGATATTTCTAAAATTTTAATGTGTACTACAGAGAACTGGAGATCTTGTTAAAATGCAGATTCTCACTCAGGAGATCAGGAGTGGGACCTGCGTTTCTGCATTTGTAACAAACTTCTCAGCCATGCAACCTCTTCTGGCCCCAAAAGGGTATTTTGTCAAATGTACAGTAAGTGGAAGAGCCTGAATTTTATCCTAGTTTGTCTGACAAATAAACCAAGATGAGAAGCTTCGTTTCCCAAATCAAGCTATAAGCAAAGAGAAACTAAGGGGAAATGGAAACTTCCAGATTAAATGTGAGGATTTATGTACATCAGCCAGTAAAATTCCCCAAGATACATATTAATGATAAATAAGAAAAATAATTAACTTTATAATGGAGGACTCTGTCAGAGAGCACCCAGCTAATTTCTCACTCTCGCTCAGGCTGGTATCAAACTCCTGATCTGAATAAATCCTCTTGCCTTGGCCTCCCTAAGTGCTAGGATTACAGGCTTGCACCACCATGCCCAGCCATAAGTGTGCATTTTTAAATCGTATTTGGCATAAAGATGATGGGGCATCAAGATAGAACCTCAACAGCACATATTTTGCTTCTTCATTGACATCTGAGTACCCAATCCTATACTTAGAAATCTGGGGTATCTGCACCTTCCCATGTTGATCAGTCAAAAGCGAACCCTTTCAACGTTGCAGGTCATAATTTCATGGTGAGAAATGTTCTTAGTATGTAAAAAGCCTGGATGGAGAGAATGGAGAAAAGGCTCTGGTATGTAGAAAATAAAAATTTTAAAGAGCCCCCTGAAAATCATAAGAAGGGAAAAAATATTTGAAACAATGTTGTGAGGCAGAAACCTCAGAATTAGAGAAAAAACAGTTTGCAAGACCTAAATACATGACATTCTAGGAGTAAAAGTAGGACACAGCCCCTGACCTAGGAGACTCTTGTGTGAGAACCAGCCATTTCTTCCTCTTCCTGATTCTCTAGGATTCCTTCCCAGGTGAGATTATCTGGACAAATCACAGGTGCATCTTGAGAATATGCATTTTAAGGTATCAGAAAAACCCCTTTATCTGCTACCACCACACCCACAGGCAGAAGGACCATGAAGTACAGAAAAGGCCACATTCATCTGTACTTTGTCACCGTAGATTCAGGAACAATGAGCTCCTACATAAAGATGAAAATGTGAGTTTCTCCTTTCCTGCCCTCAGGTGCCCTCCCCTGCCAGAGACACCAGCAATTTCTGCTGCAGCAATGGGAATATGGGCCACACTGACCCAAGCAGAAAAGGCACTGTGACCTCCCTTTGAGAAAAAAGTCTAGAATGAACAGATCTGGAAGTCCACATGCTTGACCCTGGCCTCAACTTAGAATCACATGAGGCACTTAATTAAAACCACATTGGTCTCCCACCCAGACCAATGGACAGAAGCTGCACGGAGGGCACAGGGGATGGTATGTCTTCAAACTGATTAGTGGATTATAATTGGAAGACTGGGCTGAGAGCCACTTAGCTGAGCATTGCCTCTCAAGCTTCGATGTCCACAGAAAGCATTTCGTATCCAGGCACCAGCCTAATATTAATATGATTCTACAGGTATAAAAGGAGTCCATGGATTGGCTTCATAAACAAGCTGAATGCTGATGTTGCTTCCCCAGACCTCATATCTGTAGCACTCAGCTAGAGATAGCAGGCACAGCACCGAGTCCCCTACACTGGATACTCTTATCACAACATAAATACTTCTGGTCAAAGAGAAGACCACAAATCACCATCATGAAACAACATTTTCTGCTGGCCCTTTAAAGATTACAGAGGCTGGAAAGGCAGCTATATCTGAGGAAATCATTTGGAAAACAACATGTGCATATGCATTAATGCAATTTTCATTGATAGTATACTTTGTGCTCACAAATATGCTACAGTGCACTGTGCTGGGAACCTCGAATTGTGGGAATTAATCCATATAATACCCTGGGAGTCAGGTAGTAATTGTCCCATAATTCATATCAGGATCTAGATGGTGGGCACAGATTTTTAATTTTTCTTCTGTTCCTTTGTCACTGATGAAATAAAAACTACACAGAGTAAAAGATATATGTGGATGGGAGATACATGGAAAGGAAGGGTAGAAAAGTAATATGGAGGGATTTTTCATTGTTGTGTTTATATTTACTTTCTTGTAACTTATGGAACCTCTACTGGATCTCATGGAATGGAAAACAAGTTGGTGGTTTAAATGTCTCTAGAAGAAGATTTTTTTAAAAAAGATAAATATTAAGGCAGCAAAATAACCAATCCTTTGCACCCATTTATCCACTTTTGGCTTTAGGGAAAGTATGAGTTCCAGCTCTGGAGAGATGGCAGGAGCAGCCACCCCAAACTCTGATCTCCTATAATCAGTTCTGTGAGGGGAGATTCCAGGGTGGGGACAGACCCAGAAAAGCCTTAGAAGAGGGTGGATCTGGGCAGGGATGTGGCAGGGAGCAGGCCTAAGGCTCTAATCTCTATGCTGCTAGTTTATTTTTGTCTTTTCTAAACGTGGTCAACGTAAATTCTACTTCCAGAGTTTGTATGTTTTTAATTATTTAAGGTACACTCTTGTCTATTTCGTAACATAACAAGCAATTTAACATAGAGCACCAGAATTTTCTAGGACAATTACATTGAATGCTAATTATTTATTCCAAACACACTAAAATGATAGAAATAACAACAATTCTTCTTTCCATGTATGGTGACATCAGAACTCACAAAAATAACATAGGAAAGTGGTTCAAATGGAGCCAAAGTTCCCTGTATATCTCCACTTCTTTGTACTGACTACATGATGCTGAATTCAATGATTTATCCATTTGATCTAGACTGAAAGTTTCTAGACAGTAGAAACCATGACTGCTTCATCACTGTTTTTCTCACGGTCACTTGAAATTTTCAAAGCCAGTGGTTTACCTATCAGTATAAGTCTCTAAACCTTTTTTTCTTCACTCAAGTACCAGAAAACTGGAGGAACTTCCATCTAGGGACCATCCAAGATTTCTTTTGTGAGCAGAGAAAAAAATTCCTAGATAATGCATTCTTCTCCCTCTAACATGGAAGGAGGTTTAGACCCTGTTGTCAGCATGACTTCAGTCTGCACAGGACATCCCCAATGTCTAAAATGCTCCTATGTGCTGCTGAGAGGATCCCCATTGAGCCTGGGCTGATGTTCCCATGATGATGCAGGAAAAGAGACTCAGGCTGACTCTGTGGGGTCAAGATAGAGAATAAATCTGCCTTGGTGAAGCAGTCAACTATGGATACAGGTGTGATATTGATAAGGAAAACCCCATCTATTACTTGGCACATGAGCCACCTGAGACCCCCACCCCTCACGGAAGACCTGCATCAGCATAATACTAACCTATTACCTGGCCCATCCACTAATCTATTACCCGGCGCATCACATAACACTAATCTATTACCTGGCACACCAACGTAACACTAAACCTATTACCTGGTGCATCAACTACCCTATTACCTGGTGCATCAACATAATATTAACCTATTACCTGACACATCAATTAACCTATTACCTGGCAGGCATTGGCCACCTGAGACCCCACCCCTCGGACCACCCCAACTTAATAAAAGTGGGAAAAATCGGGTAGATGGGGCCCAGAATTTGGTGGCGAGACCCCTCTGAACCCGCTGGCGAATAAACTTTGATTCTTCAACTCTCTGTGTGCCACTCGGTTTGTCCTCGGGACCACTCGCTGTAACACTTGCTGTAACAATATCACCTGTTCATGATCAGCTAACTCTGCGGTAAGAGGAAGGAAAACACCCTACTCCAGTAACACAGTGTACAGGCAGGGGTAGTTGTGATCATGGATATTTTGTGGTCCTGACCTTTCAATGTTAATTCATCTTCTCCCTTCTTATTTTGAATTAAGGAAGGGTCTGGTGTCCCTGGAAGTCTTGGGTTCAATGCTGATGACTGTTTTCACTTATAGATTATGTACTGACCACTGGGAGCCTCTTACAGAGCTAAAGCAAGTCACAGGACAAAATCTGGAAAATTCCAGG